CATCTCATCACTCCATGGACCTTCTCTGTGGCCAGGTATCACTACTTAACATTTTACATGTCGAAAAAGACAACATGGAGTTTTTGTCTTTTGTAGCTTTTAGTTTACGTGTATGGATCTGTGGTCATTTATCTGTCATCTTGTTAATGGGGGAGTTTCATTTCTGGCTATGTCAGACTTATTTTCTGATCATCTTTAAAAAAGGGAGATTTTTTTTTTCACATTTCATGGCATTCTTGGACTGTGTTGTTTGGAGTACTGGGTTTGGTAGATCACCAGATAGTGGATCTATTTGATGATGTAAAGCTTTATGAGGCTGTTCTGCTGACTTATTATGTGTGATCTGCACAATGGCTAGTTTTTTGTGTTTCAATGAAAATGTTTGATTTACTTGCTTAGAGTTTGATGTGGTAACAAGCATTTGCAATTTTGTCAACAGTGGATACAGTTTGCTGAGAGATCCACGCTACAACAAAGGGCTGGCCTTTACTGAGGGAGAGAGAGATGCTCATTACTTGCGTGGCCTTTTGCCCCCAGCTGTTCTCAATCAGGAACTTCAGGTTACTTGCTTCTTAGTATCACGTTCAGTCACTTTATTACTCAATTTCTCAAGTGAATGAGATTTTCATGTTGATAATCTACGTGATAAAATTTGCATATGTTGTCTACATGAAACTCCTATTTTGATCAGAGAACAGAACCAAAACACTTGAAGTTGCATCTAGCTTTATCCTTTATGCAAATGGTATGCTATATGCAGTTCAATCTGAGGATTTTTGGCTAAATTCCCTTGCTATTTTGATGTTCAGGAAAAGAGGTTGATGCACAATCTTCGCCAGTATGAGGTTCCTCTGCATAGGTACATGGCCATGATGGATCTCCAGGTACTTTATGAATTATAACTCTGCCCATGTAAAGTGCATACACCATGTAGTACTCTCTTTTAAAAATCGGAATTTTTGAGTACATATGCTACTGTAAGGAACATATAACCAAGAACCATTGCTTCGGAGTTTCTCACTGTCTCTGACATTTCTCTATTGACAGGAGAGGAATGAAAGGCTATTCTACAGGCTTCTGATCGATAATGTTGAGGAACTGCTTCCTGTTGTTTACACTCCAACGGTTGGAGAAGCGTGTCAGAAATACGGCAGCATTTTTAGGCGTCCTCAGGGTCTATATATCAGTTTGAAAGAAAAGTAAGCCTTTTTTTTCTATGGCATTGCTCCTTTATGTTTTTTCACTAAGCATTTGAGAGAATACTAAGTGTTTGAATTCTTCAGGGGCAAGATCCTTGAAGTACTAAAAAACTGGCCAGAAAAGAGTATTCAAGTTATTGTTGTGACTGATGGTGAGCGTATATTAGGACTTGGAGATCTTGGCTGCCAGGTAAAAACATAAAATAAAGTGCCAGTCTCTTTAATCTGCATCATAAATACAATTATGATAACATTTTTCTCTAAAATTTTGTCAGGGAATGGGAATTCCTGTTGGGAAACTTTCTCTGTATACTGCTTTAGGAGGTGTTCGCCCTTCGTCCGTAAGAACTACTTAATGCTGTTATATCTATTCCCTTTTCCTTTTCCTCATTCATAGTCTATCAAATATTAATTTGCTATATGTGATCTTGTATGATTTCAGTGCTTGCCTATTACCATTGATGTTGGCACAAACAACGAGAAGTTGCTGAATGATGAGTTTTACATTGGGCTTAGACAAAGGCGTGCAACTGGGAAGGTCTGATCATCCTTGGCATTACATGCATAAAACTGAATGTTCTTTCAACAGTAGTTATTGAGTGTGATGTTTCTTCTCTGTTAACATGATAATTGTTTGTTGTGGTTCAGGAATATGCGGAGCTTCTAGACGAGTTTATGCGTGCAGTTAAGCAGAACTATGGAGAGAAAGTTCTCATACAGGTTGTATATCAGATTCAACACCTGCAATCGGTGGCTTTGGTTTGCATGAGTTTATTGTTTTACTAATTTTCTTGATTCTTTTTCAGTTTGAGGATTTTGCCAATCATAATGCATTTGATCTGCTGGAAAAATACAGTTCATCTCATCTTGTTTTTAACGATGATATCCAGGTAGAATGGTTGAAAGCTTTTAAATTGTGCATGGTTTCTTATTTTAATTCATGCTAATTATTCTGACCTTTGATTAAACGCAGGGCACGGCATCTGTTGTGTTAGCAGGATTGCTTGCATCCCTGAAATTAGTTGGGGGAGCCTTAGCTGACCACACCTTCTTGTTCTTGGGTGCTGGAGAGGTAAGAGCTTTCAGGCCTAAATTCATTTTTCATTTTGATAATACATGATTTCTAAGAATGCATGATTATGTTTTTGGGAGGAATATTCTTATTGCTTGTATCTTTTGGTTGTTGAAGGCTGGAACTGGTATAGCAGAGCTGATTGCTCTTGAGATTTCAAAGCAGGTATATAGCTTGATTTTGGTATTAATCTTCATTTACTATTCATTTTTATGAAGTATCTAAATACTATTCCGTTGGCCAGACAAATGCTCCAGTGGAAGAGACCCGAAAGAAGATCTGGCTTGTGGATTCAAAGGTAAATAATGCCTGAGGATCCTGGAAAAGAACAATGAAATCTTCTTTTTTTCCTTCTACACTTTCTTCTTCCCTAGTTTCTCATGACAAGTTTGTTCCTTTCCAGGGACTTATTGTTAGCTCTCGTCTGGAATCACTTCAGCACTTCAAAAAGCCTTGGGCACATGCGCATAAACCTGTGAAGGGGCTACTAGATGCTGTCAAGGTAAAGAAAGTGTCTCAGATTTTTCCTTAATTTCATGTAATATTTAATATTCATTAGCCTTGATTCTTGAACACTAACTTACAATTCGCTCTCCATCAGGCAATCAAGCCAACCGTTTTGATTGGATCATCTGGAGTAGGGAAGACATTTACCAAGGAGGTGGTTGAAACCATGGCATCCTTGAATGAGGTTCTTTCTGGCTTTCTCTAATGATTTTTGTGCTACCTCATGAGAAAATCATATCTCTGATGTTTGTGATATTTCTTGGCGTGTAGAAACCACTTATTCTTGCTCTCTCCAATCCAACTTCACAATCTGAGTGCACAGCTGAAGAAGCTTACGCATGGAGCAAGGTAAATTTTCCTTGTTTCATTTTTACATAGCCCAAGGAACAACACATTGAGAGTTAAATGATAAAGCAGATGAACAAACAAAAAATCTTGCATGCCACATTACGTCTCTCATATTTTGCAGGGTAAAGCAATCTTTGCTAGTGGAAGCCCATTTGATCCTGTTGAATATGAAGGAAAACTTTTTGTTCCTGGACAGGTTTAACTTAAAACTCGCTAAGCATTTTCTTATTCAACAGTCACATTATCAAAGTTAGTGGCTGACCTTTTTCTTATGTTTTTCAGGCCAACAATGCTTACATATTTCCTGGTTTTGGCTTGGGTTTGATCATCTCTGGTGCAATCCGTGTGCGTGATGAGATGCTCCTGGCAGCCTGTGAGTACATACAAACCATAGCAGCTAGATGACTTGAGCATGATTAATATATAGCATAAAAAAGAATTGTTGAAAAGTGAAAAAATGTATAGCAAATGATGAAATAGATAGCTTGATTGACCCTTTAATATTTTGCAACAGCCGAAGCTTTGGCTGCACAAGTATCAGAGGAGAACTATGACAAGGGACTGATTTACCCTCCATTCTCAAACATCAGGAAGATATCAGCCCACATTGCGGCTAAAGTGGCGGCTAAGGCATATGATCTAGGTGAGTTTCTTCAAGTGTTTTCAGTTTAGACAAAAAATGGTTAATGATGTTATTCTTTTTCATTTCATAATGTTGTCTTCCCTTTTTGGTGGACAGGTTTGGCTTCTCATCTGCCTCGACCAAAGGATCTTGTTAAATATGCAGAAAGTTGCATGTACAGCCCCGGCTACCGAAGCTACCGTTGAGTACACAATAAGCTTCTTAGGAACAGATTTATTTTATTGCTTGTTAGGCTTGTGGTATAAGGCATTGGCCCATTTGAACTTTGAATAATTGCTTATTCTTCAAGGATTTTATTTGTATCGGGGAATATTATATATATTCAAATTTATGCTGAATGAAATATGATTTTGATAGTGCCGTCAGCTTGCTTGCATTGTTTATATATATAATGTTAAAATTCAACAGGAACAGGAACAAAATATTAAATGATTCGTATTTTAAAATATTTCAGAAAAATATATATAGTCAATTTTTATGTATATAAAAAAGCAATCAGATAATTTTAAATTAATTAAAAAAATTATATAATATATGTGAAATAAACTTCTGATGGTGAAATTTTAGAAAATATGATTAGATAACAATATATTTAACAGAATAATAATATTCTACAGATGTTCCATCTAATGAAAGTAAGTTTTTTAAAAATTACTTCTAATTTTCATCTTTTATTTTCTTGTAATATAATAATTAAAAATAAACTATTCATTAAAACTAGGTTTAATTAAACATTGTCATTCAACTTTTACTATTTTGCAAATTTTACTCCTAAAGTTTTTTTTCTTGCATATTTTGCCGACATATTTTGCACATTTTACTAACATTAAATGTGTTACATAATGAATCTTCTCGCAATAAAATAATAGCGAGCAAATAAAAAGAATACAAAGCATCAGGAGTCCAGATGTTGTAAACACAAAAAAAACAAGATACATTGGTAGTGTTTTACACAATCATACTTGATCATGTGATAAAATTAACTTTTATAATAATCCCTTGAAACAACTATAGTAACTCAATTTTACTCCAAACATGATAATAATCACTTCAAAATCGTGGCACAGATAATTTTTTATTGGTTGGTGTCAAAATGTTTATATATGGAGTGCCGCAGAAATATAGGCAGATTAATAGAACTTGCCGTACTCATACTAGTCAAGTCCACTTACATAAGGTTTAAAACCAAACAACTAAAATAAAAATAGAATATAATTGTTCAGGTAATTCATAGTTCTCAATGATTCTCATTTAAAATTACTTAATGTGTCACTTTATTTCTTCCAAGCCCTTACAAACATATACTTTCTAATATACGTAATATCAACATGCGCAGTGCTACAACAAAGCTGCATTATATACATTAGCCATGCCGAGTTACTTGAACATGGTTTTTCATTGAGAGATGATTGCATAACTATCAAACTATAGGTTTTCGCGTTTTTTCTTCTGCAAGTTGACAGCTCCGAATTCCCCAGAAAGTGCTGGGTTTTAGTTTTTGGCTCCTGGCAGTGAAAAGCCACCCCATTTGGGTTTTACATGTAGCACAAATAGCAATTGTCCATGCATACCTGCCAAAAAAAGCACATCGGAACGTTAGCTTCTCACTCCTCATTAAATAACCATGTACATGACATTATGTAGCATCCTCAGCACTAATCTCACGAAAAACATGAGTTGCAGAATACGTCCACTTTAAGGGAACTACTGGCTCATCCTTTTCTCTTTTCTATTTTTACTGCTGGGTATAGCAGATACGTTTTTTCTGAATTGTTTATAATAGAATTTCCATACAGCAGAAGGAAAATAAAATAAAGAAAAAGCTAATGGAGAGTTTTCCACTCCCCCTGCATACCAGCCTCAGCCCTAATGGAATTATCAGCTAAAGGACAGTGGCATTCCGTTCTACCCATGTACTCCTCAATAAATAAAGTACATTTGCATCGAAATTCCTTTAGATCAAAAGCTAGAAAAATAACAATAAGTGAATTTTGGGCGAATAAATGAAAAGCATGTCACTTATCAACTATTAATTTATATCTATAATAATGAAAATTAAACGGGCATTTGGTAAGGGGAATACAAGATATTTTTTATATTCTATTACTCTTGAATTAATTTAAACTAAACATCAACCTTTCTAGTAAAGAAAAATTTGTTAAAACAGAAATACAGAATATGCATCTTCCCAAACGTGAAGCACACATAGAGTACAAAGGATTTAATATTATATGTTGTACCCACACACATATTATTTATTTATTCATAATCAAATAAGCGAACAATTAATGATACAGAATCGATGAAATCCTTAACTTCTAATAATGGACTATTTCTATCTTTCATTATTTACGTATTACCATCTTTCCGTATTTACGTACAATAAATGCACACATCTAATACAAAGAAACAAATGAAATTAAAAAGTTAACTGAACAGAACGAGAGCTCTTCAATTCCTGTGTATATCTAACAAAAATGGACTGCATGCCCATAAAAGAGTGTGGAAACTGACAATACTTTTGCCTTTCTTTCCTCAAAACCCAGATATCAGGTAGAAAATGTCTCTGAAAAAAGAGAGGACAAATCCAACACCATATTTGAAAATAGAATCCGGCCAACCATATTTAAAGGACACAAAACTAGGTGAGAAAATATACATGTTTAATAACCATTAACGAAACATCGTACAGATTCACAGCATACAATAGTTTGACCTTTGACATACCTAATTCTTCTAAACCCTAAAGAAACTATGTTCCTAACATCATATAATATGGAAATGGAGTGACACACTTACCCAGGAAACCAACTGTATTCAGCTACTGCTGGTCCAAGAAGAGATAAACCATTTGCCTTGTAAAGAGTCATTATCTCATGCACATAACCACCTGGATTCACATAAGCACTAAGAGGACCCTCACTCGACATCACCAACATATCACTTCGTTTTGCAATCGTAGTCTGCAAATTTTAAGATGGTGATAAAGAGTGCGAAATATTACTTTCCACATTTGATGAAGGTTGAAACAGATTTGCACATTTGAATTGTCTCTATTATTCACAAGCAATATTCATAACAAACTATTACCTCACAGCTTTTACACCGGATAAGATCAATGCTCTCTAGTAATTCAATTTCCCTACGCAATCTGTATGCAATGCCATCTATATCCAAAAGCTCCTGCCTTGTAGACTCAGACACAGGTATTTTACTAGCAATGTGAAATGATAAAACATCAGGCTTCTTAACGAGACTTTCCATGTTAGGCACCCCAACTATTCGCTTCCACATATCTATAGATTATCAATACAACGCAACCATTAGCCTTTATTGTAAGAGCTACATACTTGTTTTACAGAAAAAATTCAATATTCCGAGACTAATCTTTTATTTAATTTTAATTGTTTATACCATCGTAAAGATTTCATTAAGAAAATGAAGACTTTCATTATTCAATTTCAGTCAATTATAAATAAATAAATGGACAAAAACACAGAATAATATAGTATTATTATATATATTGCCAAACCATTTCTGAAAATTCTAGAAATACACAACCTGCTCATGAATTTTCCATTCATGACATTTTTTTTTAATTTTAAAACCAATAATAACATACCAGCAAGTAGAAAAGATAACCAGAAATTTTATTTAGCTAATAACATTGATGCCATAATAATGAGGGGGCGGGGGGAAATTTGCAAGAAATATCTAATCGGGAGATAGAAGAACAACAACATAGCCTACCTGCAGCCCTTTGTGCCAGCAAATAAGAGTCAAACATCCGATATGTCCAGTGGGGCCAAAATGCTTTTGAAATTTTATGAGATGTGTAGGCACATATGTTTTTACATCTATTAAGCTCTTCATTCCATGACTGCTTTCCAGAAGTGGAACAATTCCCAGTCCTTGAATCCAGATTGGATCTAATTTCCTGATCTGACTTACACATGAATTTAGGGTTGCAGCTGTTTGCTGATTCATCCATTGTATCATCTACGTAACTGGAGCCAACAACTGATAGATGGATTTTCCTTTCCACCGGTGAGAGTTCATTCTCAAAACTGTCATCTGAATTTGGTTCTGAATCACTTTCCTTATCTTTTGACCTTTGCATTTTAGCATGAGAATATGGTGAAGACACCGTATGTGAGACAGCTTGACTACAGGGCATGTTACTCAATGGTGCTAATTTGCCAAAAGCATCTCTTGGAATTCTCACTGGAAGATCTTCCTCAATAATTTGGATCTCTCCATAAGGCTAAAAGGAGGCACCCCAACCAAACAAAGAATGAGGGATTTGTCAGCCTTAAGTTACATAGCTAATGCCCAAGTTAATAAAAATATAGAGGCAGTAAAGATAATAATATTCTGCTAACCACTCCTTCCACATCATTCCAGGACCGTCTTAGGCGAAATCGTTGTTGTCCACGGGTAACTACATTCAGCGAACCGTCCCCCAGACGCCCAAATTGTCGAATCTATAGATATTAGTTTAGCAAGCAATATAAACCAACAGAAAATAAGGAGACTAAAATTTGTAACTATAGATGGACTCTTTTACTGTTTTCTCTCCATTAAGAGATATGGAATTGATGACTTCTGCATTACAAAAATCAGGCTTTGTATTGATGAACTAGAAGTTATGTAAACAATATATTCAGCTCTGCCTCTCCCAGCATCCATAGTTGCATTAGAACAGCTTTTGCACAAATACAAATAAAGAGTGATACATAGTGCAGCTGTGCCAACATTAAATTTCTGAAGCAAAGTGACTTGCTACTGTTTTATAATGTTTCTTAAAGACAAGTTATTGAGAAGCGGGAAGGTAACATGTAGGCATGAATGTGTATCGATACATGAGTTGAGGTGTAATACCTCTGCAGTTGTCCCAACGCTTGCTGATTTCGTCCTACGTGTTGCAGTATCCCTGTGGATTCGAATCTGAAAGGCAAATGCATGTGCACACCTTATTTATGTTTAAGAGAAAGATTAAAACTGAATTACAAGCATGAATAAACTGTAAACAGTCATCACAAGAAGTTAACTTACCACAGCAATGGTATGAGGAACATCATCTTGAGTTAGAGCTCTCTCCACAGCAGCCACCAAACGAGGTTCAATAACTCTAAGGGGAAGTGTAGCCCCAGGAAAGAGTACGACTCCTGAATGTTGCAAGGAATAGTTAAACTCTTAAGTTAAACTATAAAACAAACCTAAAAAAAATACCAAGGCAAGCCATATGAGAAGACAACATTTTGCCTCTTTGAAGCTACGAGAAATAACTTATATAACAATTTTCAAAATGATATTCAAAAGTTTCATACAGATACACGAAAAAAAAAAGGTTCCAAAAACACTACAAGACAGTGCAGCTGGATAAAAAGGCTCAGATCCAGACACAAGCGATTCTAAAATGGCAGAGACTAAACCGAAATCTGATTTGAAACTCAAAATGTACAGAGGTAAAACCCTGCTATTCTAACAATAATGAGAACGGAGCACGATATGGTCCTTAAAATACAATGTGTAATCGTCTACACATTTTCCACATTGTGGGGGGTATGATTTTCAAAAAATTCTTCACTAGTAGCTCATTTTTGTCTCATCAACAAGCAAAACACCTTCTTAAAAAGCAGAGGATAAGTGCATGTTTAGATCCTGTTGACTGATCCAAAATCACTTTGAAATGCCAGCTAACAAGATTCTATGTCAATGTTCGCATGCTTGGTTTCATGTTGACAAATTGACTGAATCCCAACTCGATATTGAATTGAAGACACTAAAGTAACTTTTGTGCAGAATAAAAAGAATTATGTTAAGTTTCAGTACTAACTCAACACACACACACAAACATGAATCACTTTACTTCAAAATCCATTTAAAATCAATTTTACAAATACCTCGGAGACAAAAGAGCGGAATGTTCAATACAGCTCCACCGTCCAAAAACGCAGTCCTGTGACGCGTGTCTTCGACATCTGCAAGGAAAAAAGCAGAGCAATATGCAAATGCATTCCAGAAAAAAAAAGGCGCAGATACTCAAGATAAGAATACAATAAAAATGCATACCTCCGAGATAGGTATGCAACGGCGTGATATAGGTGTCGAAAGTGAATTCAGCAGAAGAGTGAGGAGAACCGGACGAAGTTAATTGTGAAAGCCAAATCGCATAATCCTGATCGACCTCGTTGTCGGCGTCTTCGTCTTCATCGGAGTAATCGACTTCTTCAACTTCAAGGTGCTCGAGATCGAGCTGGCGAATCATCTGGATTTGCAATCTCTCCCTCTCCAGTAACCTCTCTCTCTCATCGTCATCCATTTTCAGGTGCTATGCAAGGGTTTTGAGATTTGCAGAGAAAGAAGGGGAGAGGGAAATACGTTCCCCGCACTGTGCCGCATTAAAGGAGACGAACCGTCGTGGTTTATGCCTCTTAAACACTGCACTTCCGTACTTTTACTGAAACGACGCTGGATTAATATCAACTTTTTTTTATTTGGCATATTTTCGGACAACTTTTTTTTTAGGTTTAGTGCCTAAAAATAATTTGTTATCCTAATTCGATGTGTGTCAAGTGAGTCCGAACATGATAAATTAACCCAACCATCCTAGGTTCTAAATATGTCTCGTCAAAAAATTATAATTTTATAAAATATTCACAAAAGTAAACTTAATTAGTTAATTCAATGTTTATATCGGGTTAGTATTATCATGTTAAAGGTATTTTTTCTTTACATTATCTTTTGAATGATTAATTGACTTTCAAATGGTATATGATGAAATTTAGAATATTCAATTAAAGTGTATTGTATTTTTTTATTTATGATTTTAACTATGAATTACTTGATTTTTAAATGTGGTGATATTCTTTATTATTTATTATTTGGTTTGAACTATTGAATTTCTTGCTCGAAGAATGTTACATTTTTAAAAAAAAAATGTCATCTTTTTTAATTTTTTTAGGATAAGTTGAAAAGACGAAAATTTATAATCGGTGAATTAGGCTCGGTAGAATGGTTTAAAATTTAATTTTTGATTATTAATTTAAAAAGTTTAAATAAAAATTTTAAATTATTTAATATACATGATATTTATTTTTAATAAACAAAAGTCATAATAGAAAAATAATATTACAACTACAAATTTTGTTATAATTAATTGTGTGGAGTATTTTATATTTAATGTGAAAAATGTGATATTAGAGTTTTATAATGGTTAGTAAAATTACGAGGAATAAAAAACTTTTGATCATAATGTAAAAGTTTAAAAATTGACATTTTAAAGATGATTGGAAAATAATATAACTTTGATTATTTTAATATTAAAATATTCTAATATAAATAATTAATTATTAAGTTTTATTATTTTAAAACAATTAATTATTTAGAAATCACTTTCAAGTTTCTACCTAGAAATTCTTATCATTTTTTCATCTAATTATTCTAACAATGATCGATTCATGATCACTTTTTTTTTTGATAAAATAAGTTGGTTTTTTATTCTAATATATTTTGTATTCCTTTGCATATTTATTAATCAGTAATTTTAATGGTATATTTGATTGTAGTTTTTAGGAACATATAAAACTTTTTGTGCGTGTAGAGTTGTTGTAGGTTTAGTTTTTTCTCAGGTAATAGAAGTTAATTATCGTATCTTAATATCAAATATTTAATTAGTGCATTTTAATATCAATTGAATCATTATTGTATTTTAATATCAATTGGTTAATTATTATATTTTAATATCAATTAGCTGATTATTATATTTTAATATCAATTATACATTTATAGTTTTTACTACATGTTAAATTTTAACTTATAGTTGGGTTATAAATTTTGTTTAGATGAATTTATGAGTGTAATATGATTTTGATTAAAGGAAATTACGGTCTTGAATGAGTAAAATTGTATGCTAAAATTTGATTGTAAAATTTGTTTCAGAAATATGATGGTGTGTGTTGTTTGTGGATTTGGTTTAGTTTGAAGTTAATATGATACACTAAGTTTATAATTATTTAGGCATGTTGGTATCTTAGTTGACATTGAAACTTGTTTTTAGACCTAACTATTAGTTAAGTATATTAAATTGGCCATTTGAATAAGTCTTAAGTGTATCAAATCAGAATTGGACTGAATCATATCAAAATTGGACTTTTGTATTTTTTTGGTATGGTGTTGAGTGTCTGATTCACAACTATGCATACCAAAATGTTAATGATTTAGCGTTAAGTGATGAACAGAGCACGTTGAGCACCATTAAACATTGTAGGTTTGGAGCTTAGTTATGTCTCGTGGCGTCGAGTGCCCAAAATTGACACTAAGCGCTGTCTTCTGCGAGAGTTTTTATACTGAATGTCGGTTTGAATGTCACTGTATGTTTTTTGTGATTTTTTGATTCTTTGTTTGTTTGAAGTGGTTTATTTTAGATTCACTGCATGATTATTATAGATTTGAGCATTAGTGCAAAAAGGGGTTTTGAAGTCTGTGTTTTTTGACTTTTAATGGTTAAAAAAATACCAACATCATGTTGAGAGACTTTAAATTGATGAAAAATACCTTTTTCCGATATTAATTAATGTTAGATATTATACGTTAATTAACATCAGAAAATGATAATTTTTTTACGTTGATCAACGTCTTTTTTTTGCCATTTTCTTATGTTAATCAACTCTATTGTATCTTTTAATTAATAATTATCTATTTTAAACAACAAATCTTGGGACATTTTATACAACATGAATTATGAACTACAAATAAAAACATAACAGTTATCACAATATTGTGATTATTGGTTTTGATACCTATGGTTATTAGCTTTGGTTGAATTTTTTTTACCATTCCTTAAAACCCCTTTTTTAGGAAAAAAAATATCAGGAACCCTTATTTTGGGTCTTTGTGAAGTATAAAAATTATTTGGAAAGTTAATTGCGATAGATCTTTAAACAACTATGACATTTGCTCCGNGTTTTTATACTGAATGTCGGTTTGAATGTCACTGTATGTTTTTTGTGATTTTTTGATTCTTTGTTTGTTTGAAGTGGTTTATTTTAGATTCACTGCATGATTATTATAGATTTGAGCATTAGTGCAAAAAGGGGTTTTGAAGTCTGTGTTTTTTGACTTTTAATGGTTAAAAAAATACCAACATCATGTTGAGAGACTTTAAATTGATGAAAAATACCTTTTTCCGATATTAATTAATGTTAGATATTATACGTTAATTAACATCAGAAAATGATAATTTTTTTACGTTGATCAACGTCTTTTTTTTGCCATTTTCTTATGTTAATCAACTCTATTGTATCTTTTAATTAATAATTATCTATTTTAAACAACAAATCTTGGGACATTTTATACAACATGAATTATGAACTACAAATAAAAACATAACAGTTATCACAATATTGTGATTATTGGTTTTGATACCTATGGTTATTAGCTTTGGTTGAATTTTTTTTACCATTCCTTAAAACCCCTTTTTTAGGAAAAAAAATATCAGGAACCCTTATTTTGGGTCTTTGTGAAGTATAAAAATTATTTGGAAAGTTAATTGCGATAGATCTTTAAACAACTATGACATTTGCTCCGGTTGGCCGATTTGCTATTATTATATATCGATTTGAGGTAAAAAAAATCAAATCACGTGGCAGCCCACTAGTAGGTTGTTCCTTCTAGATTTTCAAGAAAATGTTGTTTTCTATTTTTCCTTTTTTTTTGTTTTTTCCAAACTTTGCAAAAATATTTACATACTTAAACTTTGAATTTTGATCTAAATTTTTTTGTGGGGGTTTCTTATGATATTTTGGTGCTTTGAACATAGTTTCAAGTCATTTGGAGTTGCTTTGAATATACTATTAGTTTGACCCTAAGCTTGGATGTATAACGTATAGCATAAACAACAAATGTATAATGTGTAGTATGAGCAACAAATAAGTTCAACAATATCAATATCAATACCAACAAGTTCAACCTTATTGAAAACGAAAACAAAAACTAATCTTTTTGAAGGTGGGTTCTTCAAAATAAAGTGTTGTCGCTAATGAGGGAGAAAGGAGAACGTGCCTATGAAGGAGAACACGAAAACAATCAGTCAAAACGAACAAAAATCATACCTAAAGTAGTTAATCAACACGCATTTGTATATAACGAAAAGAATATTACATGTGCTAGTCGCCAAACTTCGTTCGAGAAAAGTTTGAGCAAAAAAATTGGTATCGTACTAAGATAAAGTGAATGAATTTTCAACTTGATGTCCAAATTTTTATCGAATTAACATATAACGTTTGAAAAAGTGATATTCTAACATCTTATACCCTTTTGACGTATGAAACTAGGGCATCCGACATCATATGAGTATATTTTCACCTTCGCGCCAAATATACTTGCAAAATTTTCCCAATATGATGCTAGATTTCTCAATGTCCGATGACTAATAACCTATTGACATAAGAAAAGTCTAAATTACGACCTCTTAAATGAATTTTTATTTACAAAAATATCACTGATAATTTTTAATGTTGGCTTTTTCCTTTTTTGATGTTGAATGTTGAAACCTTATTTTGTACTAGTGGAAATTAATTATGGTGCTTATGCATGATATTTGCAATTATCACCTTAATGATGTGAATCAATAAAGACGTTTCAATTGATTCGTGCCAGGGAGAGAGTTGCTCCATTAAGTTATATTTTATCATGTGTGAGCCTTCTTTCAAAAATTCTAGTTACATATATTAATGTGTTATATACTCAATACATGTTTTATAAATAATTGTAATATAATAACTCTGTTTCTATCTCACATGTTTCATTAGTATCATTTATATAAATTTTATTTCTTAATTTTACATTATTAAAATGATATGTTACATTAAGTAAACGCATGATTATTTTATACATAAGAAAGTCACCTTTTGAAATACCTTGAATACACCTTTTGAATACCAATTAGTACACCTTTTGAAACCCATTTCATATTTTGCCAAACTTCAAATTGAAGAGGAAGAAGAAATGTATTGAGTGCCTTATTCTAATGCACTTTAAAAGTTCGTGTTATCATAGTTTCTACTAGACTATGTATAACACATGGTGAGTGTTGTTAGTTGTTACATAGTTAATCAAGAAAAGACTCAGTGATGAATTATGAAGTGGATTCATAAGTATTTGAAGTAAAGTTCAAATATTGGTTGAACTAATATGACATTTGATACTAGCAACAAAAAGTAAAATAACTTAAAATGTATAAATAAATGTAGATATTTGTCATTTTTCGTGAATTGCATCTTTATTTTTTTAACTAAATAACAAATTACAATAAAGGAATGATATTAATACTTTAAATTTATGTTCACATCCATTACCTGTACAATTAACTTTCTAACAAACACGTGCTTTACAGTCAGTGTGTTCACTTAAACAGAAAGAACTATTTGCACAGGTTTGAGAGCGAGGA